TAAACCATAATTAAATAAATGACTCCAAGAGCATTTGTTGCAGCCAATTCGCAGTTTCTCTACATTAAGAACTTCTTAGACCTCGTAGGCCTACTCCAAATCCCTCTCAAGGCTCCTCTTCTGAGGAGAACAGCACGAGGTGAAACGAACTGGGCGCTCAGATGCCCATTGAGTCTAGTGACTGAGACTTCGAAACAATCACGGAATGAGCCAGAGCTTCCGTGTGTCACCAGCAGTCAACGGTTAACTGAATTACATTTTCGCGCTGGTGCATTACCGGCAGGGCGGCGACCGGCACGTAGGACGGAAGGGCGCGCTTTTCGATATCTCTATTTCCAGTTCGCTCAAACAGCAGCTCAGACGCACTCGTCATAAATGCTTATATTGGTCCCCTTTTAATTTGCCTTCATACATCATGTAAAATGAAATTAGGTTTCCTTTCTAGTACATCTCCCTTCCTGAGACACAAATATTGAAGGGGCTATAGTTAAGAGATGAAAGTCCCCAAGAGGAAATTGGTGTAAATACTGAGTGACTCAGAGATGAGGTGAAATAAATAAAGGTTATTATGAGAAATTGTTATTGATTTCATTAAAATCAAATTACATTGAATATTACAATATACAGATACCAATGTTTTAACCTAAAATCAAGAAAAGAGGTTGTACATTGGAGGTGTAGAAAGACCAGTCTTTAGATGAGAAGAAAAATATCACTATCTACAGTAAGTGTGTTAGTCATCTAATAATAGAAGACACACATGTAAAATGCAAGGGCCAATCACTTACGACATGAACAAAACACAACTAGAGAATAGTGTGGGTGATCCTTGTACATTTTTTTTAAGTGAAGGAAGCTAGTGCAGGACATATCATTGTTGATCTGCAGATAGTGCATCACATATCACAGAGAATACAAGCTTTTGTTTATCAGGAGAATAAACATCTAAATAGAGGTGGTGACAACAAGTATTTGACTTAAATATATGGTTCCTTCCAAGTTCCTTTTTGAAATGACTGACCCTTCGATTTTGTGACTCAACAATTCATAATGAGAATCCTAATTGTACCATAATTCAAGAATCCCTAAAGAAACAAAAACAATTCAATACAAAAGGTTCAGAAATAACATGAGATAAACATATGTGCACTGTTATCACTTTAATCCTTCATATGTGGAAAGAGGAAGTAATTCTTTAAGTCTTCTACTAACAAATGTTCAATGCATACCATTGTTTATGATCTAATGGTCATTTCCCTTTATTTCAAATAAATACTTCAATAAATGTTTTTCCCAGTTGAACTAAAACTATGAACTCTACCCTAGAAAAAATGCAAATAAACAATACAAACCAACTACACAAATAAATTTGTCAGAATTTTCATAGATTTGTTGTACAGACCAGACAAAGAATTGCCATGTTATAATAGATGAATATCTGCATTGTCTATCCCTTACATGTTTCACACTGGATGAAAACTTCAAGACTTCTACTTAAAAACATTCAGTGCATACCATTGTTTGTGAAGTTCATTGCTAAATTTCTAAAATGTTGCTTTTATGATACATGTCTTCCTACAAATTCCTTAAACAAGGAAATTGATGCAAAATTTCATTGCATTAATCAATTGGTTTTGAGTAAACATCTTTAGCATTTTTCCTAACATTGTACACTACTGCAAAAACACAACTCTGAATTTCGAAAAAGGTTTACATTTCTCAATAATATAGCACTACTTTGCAATTGTTGAATATTGACTCAATAAAATCTTTTTGTGTTCCCACAACTTTCTGCAGTCCTCACAGTATTTGAAATATTATGATACAAGTATTTCAGAAACAGAAAATGCAAGATTTTAGCCTAGAGCCACCGTTTGTTGTTTTGTTTAACATTTTCATGGTAAATGGACACACTAACTATACATCACCCTTATGTTTTGTGCTTTTTGACTTCAAATCTCTTTATTATGTTTTAAATACATCTAGTTTCCCTTTTCAAACAAATTTTAAATTGTGCATATGCTCTTAACTATTATGAGGTTTAAATGAAATGTTATCAACTAATGTATACATTCTAACATATTCCAAGGGTGAAGCAGTATGTTTAATAGTATGAAAAGATATTTTGTTAACATGTTGGGAAATCCACAAAACTGTCGCAGCACTTTATTCCACTTATTCATAAACAATTGAATCAATTACCTCCCCTTTAAGAATTAGAGGTGGTGAACTGTAGCACAGCATCTACAGCGTACAGTTTCATTTGGAAACAGGGGATGAAATCCCCGACACTTCACGATGAATATATAGAGATTACTCTAAGAAGGGACCACTTTGACAGCTTGGGCACTGCTGGCAACATAACTGTAGGTTATGCCCATACACTCATTTTGTCAATGTGGTCCTTTACAGTTAACTTATTTGTGAATGGTTTCATCAGTATTTTTTGCAATATAGGTGTTGTGGTAAGATATCTTTGGCATTTTTAAAATAATTAAAGATGTTGTCATTGCCAACAATGTTTTTTAATTCAAGTCGTTTTGTGGCTTCCATCTAGCAGACAACTGATGATGATGGCTAAGCCATCGAAAGCTGCTATTGCATTAAAAAACATTGTTGGCAATGACAACATCTTTAATTATCTTTTGCAATGTCATTGTCCTGCATGATGTTAATTAGTTTCCTGATCTGTCAACAGGTTCCTTCCCTTCCTGGTCCCTTCTTAGAGTAACTTCTCTATATCATCCGGTGAAACAGGTTATAGCAAATAGCAATTTACGAGGTCCTCTCATTCTCCTTTTTTCAATCTACATTGCTTCATCATCATCATCATCATCATCATCAATGTTTTTCTATTCAACAAATAGTGCATCTTGTTTGGCATAAGTAGCAAAGACCCACTGAGTCATATGTAATCAAGTGTGAGGACAGCAAGATTATACTTTGGTCATTAACCAGCATTAAATGTCAAGATCATTCAAATGTTAAAAATAGTAATACATTATTAAGCATATGTATCCTTAATATAGCCAATTCATTTCTTCTAAAGAGATGATCAAATCGATTTTTTCCCCCTAAGAAAGATTGTATTTTTGTTTTCATATTCATATTGAATACTCAAATGAATCAACCATCAATTGAACAATGAAAAATAATGTTGTTCAAACAAGGTTGTATAAAAATATAAAAACCTCAAATAGATTAACATTGATACATACAAAGAATTAAAATTCAACATGTGGTTGTTCAATAATATCTGGATGCACTCCACAACATTAAAAAATGATCATGAAAGAGATTTTGGCCCAACTGCAAAAATAAAGGTGAAACCAAGATTACAATAACTGTTTCAAATAAGGCTGAATAATATTTTACTTAACTCTTACAATTTTGTGTCATAAACTTCAACATTCTCTTCGTGTAATTAGGGCAAAAGTTCACCAGTTTAATATTTAATATCTCAGAAGATTATTACTTTAATACTTGATTACAGTACCTATAAATATATAAGTACTAGTATAAAAATAAGTAATGATATACACCAATTATAAGACTTCAAGACACTTCATAGAAGACTAACTATCAAAATGTTCATATTAGTGCAAAACTAGACAGATGGCGTGAGTGCTGCTACTCCTACATTTATGTACACTTTTCACTGATCCATACAATACATGTTTATGGTGTTTATTTGAAATGTTTACAACTGATATCTTCCAGAGAGAAGATAAAATACTTTCATCAATGTTTTCTCTCTTTTTATATTAAAAGCAATAATGTTTTGCTTATCTGTACATAATTTCATACTCAAGTCCAGAAAGTAAATTTACAAACAAAAATTAAGATTACTTTGCCAAAAATACAATATGCAAAGTTCTATCTTCTCAAATTGATAATACAAATCATAAAATATAAAAATGATAAACATTACAAAAATTTCGAGAAACTATAAATAATTATTTGGAACTCCAGTTGTTAAGTAATTAGAGCCAATTAATACCATTAATAAATACAAAATGAACATGATATATGATCATGTTCAAGTATATAATTTGAAACTAAAATATTCTAATTTGATATACATAAATATTATTCCTACAAATAAATATGTTCAGGAAAAGAACATCAAAACAATGAGATTATACAATGAACAACATGAAATTGGAAGTTAGCATAAAACATTGTTTTACTCTTCCTTGTCAAGTTGTCCTAAACTCGATATGGGAAATGACTCAACATTTATGTCATTAATTACCACTCTGGTTTCATGACATCCTGAGTCAAGGAAACACACTAGTCACATTTGTAGTATTCATCATGAGTAACAGGAAAGAAAGAGAAATTACAATGCTACATAATACAAATAAAGAGTATTGAAAACATATCATTATTCTGTGTATTAGATATTTTATTGTTTTAGTACCCAACAAGCCATTATTATAATTCAGCTTTTATATTAAGTTTTATGAAATCACATATTCTTTTGTTCTGTTAGCAAAGGTGTTGTATAATGCAAATCATAATAGCATGTGCAATAGGTTGGAGTCTAGCACAGATAATTTGTACCCTTTTTTTATTTTCAAACTAATTAGTGATAGCGTGTCATTTAAAAATTGCAATATTATTTACTGGTTTTGAAATGCAATTTTTTATGCTTTCTTTATAGTTTTATAAATCTATACATAATGTAAATACAAAAGTTTCCGTTATTTTCTCTTCCTAAACTGCATTTAGTGAAGGGACTTTCAAAGATCAATACTGCTTTAAGCCATTGTTTGCAATATCAGCAGTGAATTGTATTTATCATTTGATGAATGAGATATCAAAAGACATAATGCCTAATGCGATTTAGAAAGGCAAAGTGTTGCCAAAATAAATTAACCTTGCATAGATTATTTTCTAATTTAAAAAAACAAAAACTAAAACAAAAATGAAAAAAAAAAATTTTAAATTATATAGTTCTTGTAAAATGTAATCACCTTTCATATATTTTCCAATCATTTTTTTCTCTTATTTAGATTTTATGTGGATGTCTCCAAAACAATGTAATGTACTCATATGTATTTTAGCTATTATTGAAGAAACTATGTAGATTCCAACTTCTTACTCCTGTAAGAGAGGAGGTTTGCTTTAAATGAGACTGTGATGAACTTGTTTCTCTAAAACTTCATACATATTTCTGTGCTTCAGAGAAAAGAACACTAGGTCACATTTACTTAATTTTATAAGAGAGTAGTTCAAAGGTGTTGAATCCCTTTGTATGTCAATGGACATAATATAACTAAGTCAATGGACTTACAAAGGGATCTTTTGTGCTTCTGATTTCATTATTAATATCTTTTGAAAATGTTTCTCAATATTTCCAAAAGAAAATAAATTGGAACGAATGTGTTTATTCCATTTTAGTTAAAAAATAGACATAGTACCTTTTACTTTTGTGATACACAGTTGTTCTCGACTGATTAAAGTTAGTTTCATTGCCGTAACATTTTTGAATGGAGAGAGAGAAAAATTATCAGGGGCAAAACACCGTAGTATATTAGCAAGATAAGCCCTTGATACATCCATGATATACGTAGGATTCATATTTCATGACTCCTGGTGTTAGATACATAGGTTACAAGTAAATCCACAATATTCAAATATATTTGTTTAACTATTAGAAATACAAACAAATCACACTTTCCACGGAAATACAGCTGTATTATAATTGGACCTTTGTGTTCATTTATGGAGGTTTATTTGATATTAAATAATGTTAATAGATAAACTGAAATATTTTAAAACTCTTAAAAATATCTGATTCACAAAAGTTTTGAATGTAATACAAATTAATAATTAATTCTATTTCATTTATGGAAAATAAAAAATATGAACAAGATAGGTGTAAGATCAATAATTTCATTACAAAAAAGGTTTCAAATTACAGATGCCCAGAGTAATGAAATTATTCGTTTTTCTTTATCACGTCTAGTTAAGGAGCAATTCCTTTTTTTTTTAAATATATTACACATGCTAATTTCCTTAAAATAATTTTAAGGTATTTCATATACCTAAGGAGTTCAAAAGATCCAATCACATCCTACTTCTCTAAAACATTAAATAATACCCAATAATACTCTGAAAGCACTCACTAGTAAAAGCATCTGCCTAATGCATTGAGTAATTGTCATCTTCAGTATCCTCATGCTTTCTTTCTACTATGTAAAGATTTTAATTTCTCTGCAATGGATGGAATCTCTGCGCAATGTTGCTTATAGATTGTTAGTAGTAACCCGTGAAGATAAGAGTAAATGTATAAAGAGCATTCTAGATTCGTTGTGTACACATAAACATCTTAAGTATTAGAAGCAAGGCAATTGAGATAGGATAGGCCGTTTAAAGTCGTCAAAAGTTTATATTATATTTTTAACTATTTGGTTATGATAAGTATGTAACTTTATCACAATAAACAACAATCTATCCTATACACCACACACTAGTAAAACAATAAGTAACTTTAAGAAAAGATTAGAAAAAGTGACTAATTACTTTGATTGCAAGACAGTTCTGAAGTTTTATTTCTTAAAGGCATATTTTGATTATTTTCTTCTGAATTTGGATGAGCATGGTGAAGTGACTCCCTAGAACATTTCCTAACTAGAACAGCATCATACAAGGCTTTGCATGGTAGTACACAACTGATATGCAAACATAGCATGCAACTGCCCAAATTATTTCACAAGACTACATTTCAGAATCTAGGTACCTTCAAGCATCATAATAAAAATATCTACACATTATAAAGTGAAAACAAAATTATTAAAACACTGAGAAAAAATATTAAATATTTGATTAATATTATTGAAGTAAAAAGTATCTCAGAAATCATCTTTTGTCAACAAACATTTATCCTTTTTAAAAATATTTAAAATCATATCCAACAAATACAATATCAACATTAACTTATGTTTATTTTATGAGTATTCCAAACTTATAATGCACAACAATCCTCTAATTCTTGAGAAACAATTACACACACCAGTGACGATAACAGATTGCTTCTGATTTAGCATAAATTATACCTTAATGGTAGTATCAATTGCATTCTACCAATTTTCAACACGATGCAAAACAGAAATGAAGAAAGGAGAAACACCAATAGTTAGTCAAGTTGAAGCAGAGAATTCTATTATCCCCTTTTGTTTAATGATCTGACGTGATATAGAAAAACAAAATACTTTTTTAATTGAGCTCTCCTTCACCACCAATTGAGCTTATACTGCATAAAAAAGGTTTAATTTGTAGGCTAACATAATTACTCGAAACATCAATGACATATCTCTTGAACAAGCCACATAAAGCTTGATATGAATGTATTTCCTGAGAATAAATATTGCATTAAGCAATATTACATACAACCAATTTAGTAGTGTTGAAAATATCTCTGCTTTGCTAATACTAATAGACTAGATACAATATAAAACAATGAAAGATATAACATATAATTTTATAGAATAAACACTATAATTTAACTATCACAATAAACTTCTAAGAGGGAAAATCAACATTTTTTATTTACATCTCATTCATCTTATGAGGTGCGAATATATATGATACTCTAATATGTAGTACGTACATGTTATTGTTGTTAAAATGTAGAAATATAACTAAATTTTCAGTTCTTATATGTACAGAGTATTTCAGAACTGGTCTAACCTTGAAAACATGAAATATCAATGTTAGAAAACTTCATAACATTCTTAACTATCTTGTACACAGGAAACCACACTCTTTGGAAATGTCTTCCATAACTGAGAATAGTTGTAAATCATAATGTATTAGTGTAAATGGAATACTCCTCTTTTTTATGGTAACCTTTGAGAGAAGAAATATAAATAATCCATATCTAAAGAGATATGGATTATGTATGCAGCTAAATTAGTTACGTTTGTTGCATCTTTTGATTTAAATCTTGCTTCTTGAAAAATAAGTACATGCTGTTTCCTCCATAAACAATAAAAACTCATTATAATGCACACATTATTTAGGATTATTTGCTAAAATAGTAGGTCTATTTCTTTCCTAAAGGGAAATAATATTATACATAAAGTGAGGAAAACTATATCCTATCTTCACACTGATAGAATTTCTGAATCTACAATTGGTCTTAATAAGAATTTTTCCAACTTGGATATTTCATTTTCAATAAGAACAATCAATTGGTCTAAATCTAAAAAAATTACACAGAACATCTTACATGCCAGCATGTAGTCTAAATCAGAAAAGATACTAATAACATAATATACTTTACATCTTTACAGCTCCATCAATTACGCAAATTAGCATTCACACATAACAGAAATGCTAAGATTTTTCAGTACATTCCTAAATCAAGTTATTGGATTTTTGTTGCTTTAAACCAAGATAGAACACATCCAAAAAGTAAGAAAGTTGGAAAAAATATATGTATTCCAAAATATAGTTAAAAATATGCATATCAAAACAATGTTTAAAATAGTAATTTTTCATTCAAGTAACAACACAAAATATATTCAAACCTAGGCCACTGATAAGACTTTTCTTATAATTACAAGTCCTCTGAGAAAATTTGTCCTCTCAAAAAGTCAGCAATTTGCTGAGAATAGTAAATGTTCAAGTAGGTTTCTTTTCTTGTACTTCTTTTTTTTCCTTTTCACTAGAATTTCCTAAAAATAGCAGAGGAGTCATACCAAGAAGGCATCCAATTACAACACCAGCAACACGTCCCTGCAAAAGCAAAACACTAATTTTATGTATCAATTTTTGTCTCCCCTATCCCTTTCATTGGATATTTTTCCTTCTGCCTGTCTTACATTTTTATTACTTTCTTGTATTAACTACGAAGTTAGAGGAAGTTATGTAATTCTGGGAAGGGAAAAATTTGAGTTTTGGAACAGAAAGAGACATTTTGTGGATCCCTGATACTGAAAGAGTGGATTTTGCTTACTCCTACACGTAGTAAATTACTGTCTCCTACTGTTTTGTCAAAATCCAAGTTATGTATATCCATGTTACTGATGTTTCTTCCCTTCTGTGAACAAAGCAAGCCATACACAGACTGTTCCTGACCAATTTGGATGATGTAACAGTCCCATGAATTTGAAATTAATCTTAATTCTGAGGGCAATTTTCATTAAGCCTCGAAGATATTTTAAAATTTTCTCATAAATTTATCTCTTTTTATTTATCTCTTTCAAATCACCTGTACTTTTTTACTGAAGAAAGTAGTATTTTAGTGAGGAAAGTATTTCACAAGATGGCCGAAGAATAAGTAGGACACCATCTTGTATAATGAATCATAAACTTGTGATTTACAATTTCTAATAATTAAGCCCTATCCTGTTTCACCCCACACTTGGGCGAGTCAAAATCTGTAATTCTGTAACTTAATTTTGTGTTCATTTCATTTAAATGGATGTTCCGTTTGAGGTTTCACTGAATTGAGTGACCCAACAATTTTGTTGCCTTCACGTCAATGTTAAGGCCATGGAACGTCGTTCGAAATCAATGAAGTGTACAATTGGTTATTAGAAATTGAAAACTGCTTTGAAACAGTTTTCCCTTCGTTTATTGATAATTTGTTATTATGGAACCAATTTGAAACATCCAATATAGATATTTACTAGATACTGTTTCTTCATTGCAAAGAATATTGGTTTCATCCACAAACAACATTTCCGTTTCGAATCGCCGAAGGCACATCGTTTACGTATAGTACGAGGAGAATAGGGAGTAAAATCGAATCCTGCGGGACCCCCTGCGCAATTGGCAAACCATTTCTTAGACCAAAGAAACATTGCCTACCATATTTGTCGCAATCCGTGCAGAAAACGTGTCCAGCTGGATGGGCGTCAGTTCCGGCGGTCGCATGCCCACTCGGCATGCCATGCGTTCAACGTACCACGCCGAGCCAATGCCGAGCACATCGGAGATGGTGTTGCCTAACGCAGCAGCCGCCATCGTCGAGAGCACCATCATGGTGCCTACGGTCATTTCAATTGTATCCCCCTAAAATTGGGATTCGATGATTAATCATACGCTACACATGCTCATACATTCACTAGTTCAGAAACAAAAACCATTGCATTCGTATGCTCGAGTCTAAAGAAAGTAACTGGGATAGATAGGGAGGATATCCCAGACAATATTTTACATTCTGATAGCATGTCTAATTTTGCCTCCGCAGGAAAAGACAGTGTTCTAAAAAAATTACATAATTTCAAATTTCCTCAAACTCGTACTGTTAGAGAACTATGTGGTAGCATACTACCGTTAGTAATGCCACTGAAACGTTTAAATAGGGCAGGGTTTTCCAACTTTCTTTGGTCGCACACTCCAAAATTATTCTAGCCGTTGACCTCTTACAGTAATTTCCTTTACCTACTCGAAATAATAATATTCGTTGTTGTTGTTGATATTATTATTATTATTATTTAAAAGGTAGTAACGGTGGGCGGTCTATTTGTAGCTGTCGCCGACTCCCAATCTTTCGAGTTAAAATTATTGATGACCTGTTTTCGGGGCATAACTTGAGGAAAGAACGAAACCCAACTGTTTACAGTAAAAACGTAACAAATTTCATAACACTTGAGTGTAACTACATCAAATGTAATGTAATTTTACGTTTTCTTTTTACATTTTGTTTTTCAAGATACCACAGGTAACTATTACAATACTTACAAAAAGAATCATGAAGAAGTTATCAAGGAAGCCAAAGCCGATGAAGGGGAGAGCATTGTGTAAGCCCACTGAAACAGTAATAGAATTATTATATGGCATAATCTTAATTTGAGTGAATCAATAGTTCGCATTTTTCATTACATCAGAGAATTTTTATTGCTGGCCAATACGCCTTTGAAAGTGGAGATATCGAGCAATGCATATAATCATAATATGTAATGATATTATAACAAAGCATTTTCTTGATACATCATGGGAATCCGAAAGTGTTTTCTACGCCTTATCAACAAACGCGATGGATTCTTTTAGAAAGAACATTAAAGTTTGTTAATAAACACGGCATAATGGCTCACTTTGGCGTCCAGCGGCAAACAGGTTTTGTTAATCTGAACTACGTCGCATCGTTCACTTTAGAAATGCTATTTAGATGTCGATCACAACACGATATGTTGGAAGGATTCTTCCGTTTGAAAGTACATGCGTGTTCTATTGATGCATTGGTCGATCGATGTGAGTGTGTGCATTTTAGTGTAATAGTGAGCGAACCACTCGGCGCTGTTCTGCGCTTTGGACTGGTACTGCAAGGTGTCGAAAATTAATGAAATAAAAAAGGTTTGAAAATGTTTAAATCTGACTTACGAATTCGTTTTATTTCTGAGAAGAGAAAATTCATGAATGCCTCGGCTGGTTGAACGCAATCTGTGTATTTTCGATCTAGATTTTTTTTTGGGGGGGGGGCTTCATTTTGTGACTGGTGACTTTTCCTTTCAATGTCACATTTGTAACTGAGAGGTTGAAGAAGCTAGTACATATTTGTGCTAAGGCAACACCTAATGGAGAAAATGCTTACGTATCGCAATAGAGGCATCGTGTGTTATTTGATTATTGTATGAGACTAAAAAATCCATTTCAATGAGAAATCATTAATGGTAATAACAAACTGAAGGGAAAACTACTCGGAGAAAGAAATTTGTGTGATATGTATGAGAACTACTCGGCAATGACGTGTGATGGAAATTAATAAGAACATTAAAAATATATATTTTCCTCAAGAATCATCGAACGACAGAGAAACGTGCTAGAAAGATATATCCAACCAAGAGATTCGACTATTTGAAAATTATTATAGTGCAAGCAAGAGCAAATGCGTATGAACCTCGTATTCACTGCCTCGCGAACGAGGAAGGGTTAATCAAGTACACACATTGATACAATGCCTCTTGTAAAGAAAATGATACACGGATATGCGAATAATCACTAGGACACCACAGTATTCATTAAAAAAGTCATTACTGAAATTTAATCGGGGCATCGTCCAATCGATTTATAATTATAAAATAAACCACTAAATGAGCTGCCACAAACCTGCCTTACCGCGATGCGCATTTCCCATTAAATGCAATAAAAATATAACATTTGCATTTGCTTTCAAGTAATTTCGCTAATAAAAAATTACGCGCAAAATTGTTTTCACTTTTTAGCACCTTAGCTTGAAAACCCTCCAAACGCCTTGAGAGTTTGATTTTTCTGCTCTTGTGATTCCACCATATCAGCCAATAAGAATTGTTTTAACTGGTATTACATGCTCTTTTTCCCTTTTTAATTATAAATCGATTTGGGGCGCAACACAATTGAATTTCGACAACGCTGTTTCGAGCAGGCCCCCGCTGGGCTTCTGTTCCCGGGGCGGTGGGTGCCACGTGGTCCTGGTCCATCAGAGCAGAGCTGCTGCGCCTGCTGCTGCGCGCTGTGCCGTCGCGCCGGCTGCACTCACCTCGCCAGAGCTCGTGGGTGGTGGGCGGGGGCACTATGGCGGCTGTGGACAGAAAGCGCACCTCGCAACGCGCTCGCACCAACGCTCCCAACATGCAAATACACTTGCGACGGTTTAGGATATTACACATCCAGACGTGCGTAAAATAATTATTGTATCTTGCACGATCTCGATTGTTCTTTCCTAATCTCGATCGTGCAAAAAACACAATAATTCTCACAAGAAATGTAAATACATTTTTTCTACGATTGTATAAAAATGCTTTATTTGTTTCATCTCCATCGAGGTTATCGAAAAAAAGAGCCATCTTCGTGTGTTCCAAAATAGTTATTTTTGAAATAAGTAATGTAAGACATCTTGTAACAATACGGGATCGGAGAATTACAAAAAGAGGTCCTCAGGAACACTTTTAATTTTCATTACGAAAGTGTCAATGTATTTCATTAGTTGACATTTTTTAGAACATTTGTGTTTTAATAATTCTTATTTTGAAACATATTAGTTTCGTAAAGTTTAACTTTAGACATCCAAGGCGAATTAAGCTTTTTGCACGGTGATGTCACATTTTTCAGATGGCTTAAGTAAATATTAACTTCATGCACGAGTAGCGGTATGTAAAATCCTTTTTTAACGATCGTAGAAAAAATAGTTTTGGGGTTCACATGCGGTTATTAGATTGTTGTTATTTCGTTAGTATAATACTTCAAAAAATTGTTTACGTTAGTTTCGACCCAATGACGTACATTATGTTACTTACAAATTATATATTTAGGAGTATTAAAACCACATGCAGATCATGGCTAGAGGTTTGTCATTCTATCTTAATATTTATTTGGAAATTAATAAAGTTTAAAATTATTTTTTATTAAACATACAAGCTAACGATATGTGTTTGAAAATTAGCAAACAATCAATTGGAATCCACGACTCGATTTTTTAGAGAACCGCGAGGTCCCCACTATCCGAAAGACTCCAGGGATGTGGTATTATTATTCAATGGAGACGGACAATAGAGGTTATTCATAAACACGTACCTCGTACAAGACTTAAAATATATAAGAGACATGCTGGGAATTGTGAAATATTTTCCATTGCCATGCACATCATAGAACGTCAAATAAGTCAAATAATGGTCCCCAAGTTTTTGTCAACCTACAATACAAACTTTAAAACATTATAGAAGAACGTGGTCATGTTCTCCAGCGTGGCCACTTACTTTATTATAATAATATAATAATTCTAATCAGTGTGTATGAACTCCCTACTGTCACGTGTGAGAGTCTTGTTTTCCTGTCTGTTTACGTACACCCAATATGACCACAAACTCTCAATTATTAAATCAATCTTTCTAACCAGCTGCAAAGAAGTAAGTTTCGACAAAGTATTTATCGGATCAAGGACATTATGCGTACATTTTCTGCGATAATTGCACTTTGTTTCTGTCTACTCAGACGTTTTAAGACGCACTTGTTAAAAATGTCCGTCAGAAAAAAAACAATCTAATCGATCCACTACAATCATTCTGATGAAGCGGTAAGGAGTTTCAAGTTTATCTTCAATTGTCACTTTTTGTATACATGCATGATGCCGAGAAACGAAGCCATTATAAATGGCCCAAATATATGGCACATGTAATCATTTTCTGACGGAGGGCTTTTCGTGGATTTTCTATTCAGCTCAGTTGCACCGTATCTGCGTTAACACAGAAAAAGTAGACTTCTAATGAGAAAAAATAGTTTTACTTAACTAACTGTTCAATTAGAAGAAACACCTTGATCTTCCTCAAGTTGTTGAAACGTTTAAAGTAGAGTAGTACGGGTTTTTTCACATCTTATTTGAAGACTTTCCTCACCAATTCCGACACCCATTCTCGCGTCATATTGTGCTTCAGCTTTCCCTCGAACTGCTCGGAAGACCTTCTCTCAAAGTTCCGTCCGCGCACGCCGAAATGGAATGAGGAGGGAGGAGAGTTCGAGAAGGTGGTTTCACACAACTCCGTCTTCAATTTTGTAGTAGACTGCTCTTCTCACTCACTATTTGAAATCGCGAATTTTCATCTAGACGTACAGAGCAATTTCTCACTTTCCTCAGACGTATTGGAAATAACTGTCAGAAAGTATACTCCTTTCGGAACAGTCACTGCCGAAACTTGACATGCACCTTCAATGTGCACAACGCTAGCAGCGACTGACGCAACATATTCGAGAATGATGCATCGTAGAGAAATGCGCATCAAACAAGATGCAGATTTGATACAAGTTGCAATCAAGGTCCATCAAAGCATACTTTTAGGCAAAAAAAGTTATGGGTAAATGCAAGTAGCTTCTTCCCAGTAAATATCTGTAATACATACTTATTGCACTATATAATCAATTTTGTTTGCGGCATTCAGTCACTTATACGGCTGTGCTATGGAATTTTCTTCTTTCACAGATACACTAGTTACTTGCTCTCCGCTCAAGCGTACCGTACACCAGAGAGCCTCTCAAGGGTGTAGGATTTAAGAACCTTTCTCGCAGACTTTACAATACACACATGCTGGTCCTTCCAGTCTAGCTCGGGGTTGCAGGGTGGATGGCGGTCCCAGCTGGCCAGGCTCCTCTGAAATTCCTCGAAACGTTCCAGTAAATTTTCCTCTTTCCCGCGCGGCCTTGGAACGAGCGATGGGGGCGGGTAAAAGCGGCATATTCATTAAAAGCTTCCATTGCAGCGTTACAACACGATGGCGAGCCTTTCCTACCTCTTGGAGGTCCTGAGCAGACCAGGCGGTTTGGGGTGCCCCGCATGGCAGCAGGTAGGGGCGCTTGTCTATTTATCTTTTCTCTTTTACACAGAGCGCACGGATACTCACGTCATCAATGGCACAAGGTCGCTGAGGGAAGGCGGGCGTGTCCTCCCATCGGGAGCAGGAGAGGAAATTCAGTCTCACATACAAAAATCCAAACGGTTCTGGCAGCTACCGGTTTCTCGGGAACGGGAAATTATTGGTTTGGCAGAGAAAATAGAGAAAGATCATGTTTCTACCCCGGAGGCGTCAGTATGTCGTTTCCCTTGACCTACCTCAGCGCTTATAGCTGCAAGCAAGGGGAGCGCTGTATCGAAGTTTGGGGGAGGCCCCTTGCGGTCGTGCTGTGCCTTATAGATGCAAATCTGTGAAGTTCGTGCGCCGCGAAAGAGGTTGACGATTACGGCAAAACGTCGTATGCCCCACCCGAGACCCTTGGTAAACAGCGAGGGCTTGACTCACTGCAGGAATCGAACTTCGAGGCGTAATTCTCGTGGCCCAAGCACCACCATTACCGAAGTCTTAAAACCTGGAGACCGGAGGTGGCCAGCCCTCCCTCCTCTGCAGTAGTTTGTTGCCAGTTTTTTTTCAATTCTCTCTCCTTCCCTCGTATCGAACTACTTCCTTTGTCCAAGTTTTGCACAATTGATTGATCAAAGTAAAGATTTTAATTGATTACCTACGTTTAAAAAAACTATCCGGTACGAGTTTTTCAAGTGGGGTAACATGGTCGCTGTCGAAACAGTTCTAGAAAGAACTCTTCTCATCGAGTGAGAGCGTAGGCTTCCGCGGCCGGAGTCAGTATTTAACTGGCTGTGCGGGTGACGCCGAGACCATAGTAAAGGTGCGGGCATTACGCCCGAGGAAGGTCGCAGAATGGCGACCGAAACGTCGACGCCATTGTCATGGACGCGGCGTCACCCGGACAGCCAATTAAACTCCTCTCGACAAGTTGTCTTCCGCTCGCCAGTACTCGCCTTGTGCTAGCACGTGCATTTTGTAGAATCAATCTCTCTTCGTCTCCTTGATCCACTGCTCCTCATCCGGCCGCGACTTCTGCAGTACCACATCTCGAATTGCAAACAGGATAGTGGAAGCGGAGGTCAGCCGGAGGTAGGACCCCTGTGGTTCTTGAGAAGAATTCCATCGCATCTAAATTACCTCACAGCTGAAGGGAGTTATTTTGCTGCGACGATAATGCGGCGTGTCCAAAGAACATCTATTTAAGGCGCTTCTCTTTTTTTCTTTCATTTTCCGCATGTGTAGCTCAGAGCCGCGAAGCAAAGCGGGCCCCCACCCGCGCTGCCGGGGGCGCAAACGCCTCAAAGCTCAGCGCAAAGGCAAGCAGGCGCTGCGCCGCGTGCCACGAAGCTCGCTCATGCGGTGGGCGGCAAGAGGGAGGAAATCAATGCACAAACAACCACTTGTCGCCTGGGCTCAAAATGCACATCGGTCAGTCTACGGGGAGAGCTATGCGAGGAAGGGAACTAGAAACGGGAGGGGGCGAGTGCCAGAACAGGTGGAACATTCGCAGCTGGAGGGCTAAATTCCCACGAAGCACTAGCTTGGAGCGCCACTTCAGGAGCAGCCCTCGTGGGCAACTCATCAATTATATGTTCGGAATCTGGGTTAAGTCAACACGACCGGAGAGTCTTGCTATTGCTGAGATCTCACAAAAGCATCACCTCGGCATCCCCAAGGGAAAGATTAAAATGCTTACAAACCATTGAAATTTTGAACTCCTGATACTACTCTCAATATGTGATACGTTACATTTTCCAACTTTCAAAGCTGCTTGATTTAGTAAAACAATAACTTTTAACTGGGATAAAGAAATGTGAACTTTACAAGCTGGGAGATTATGGTGCATATTAATATACATCGTTAGAATTTTGCTTAAATTTCCTTTAATGTCCGGTGTAGTGCTGATTTACAGTTAGACGGGTCTTTCGATTTTCAATGAATGCATCTCTGTTCCCTTTCGTACAGATAACAAAGGGTCTGGCGCGAAGTTGTTTTCTTTGACCATTCGGAGGAGAGGAATGTAGAAACAAGAAGGAAGTTTAAGTAACTCGTATGCACACACGCTAATGAATGCTCACCTACGCTAAATATGGCTACTTTTGAAAATTTGAAGAAAAAAATTAAATCTTTATTGCATATTTGTTTATTGAAGAGATTTTGAGTTGCGATGGTTCAGTTTACAGGGATAAAAAGTCCCATCAAATATATTTCAGGCGTGTAAGAGGTAAATTTAACATTTATTTTCCGCAAACAAAATGTTGGGTCGTAGTTACTTGACGTGACGAGTCAACGTACGCGTCGCGACACAGCGAGAGCTTACATATGGCGAGGGCGTCCACAGCGACGTCGACGGCGGCGGCGACAGCGGCAACGAGGCAGAGGCGGAGGCGGAGGCGGCGGCGCCGCCCGCGGCAGCGTGCGACAGAAACGCCACCGGTGAGCGAATGGGGGACATTCCACGCACGCACTCATCCACCCTCCCACACACACACACACATGCGCCATCACACTCGCGGCACGCACACTCCATCTGCACTGCACCGCTCGAAAACAACCCCCACACTCCACGCTGCTCCCGCTTATTCGCGGGAGCAGCGTCACCACTTCGTGATACGTCGAGTGAGATTTTTTTTTTTTTCCATCAACTTTGGAAGTTGTACTCCGCCAGCGGCGGCCGCGGGGAGCAGCCTCTGAGATCGATGCGCCCCCGAGATGGATTATTTTGCTTCCAGCCCGGTGCGCTGGTTTCGTGAGAAAGCGCAGCCTCGCGCACGGATCGCTCCGGAGAGGAATTTCCGCGTCTCCTGCAGAGCTCCTCGAGGTTGGCTAATTCAAAGTTTAATCTACGCGTTGGCTTGCAACTCTCCTCGCCTTTTCACGCGCTGAAGAGTTGAAGCGGCTGTCCACTGACGATACAACACTCGACGTTTCACCAAAAAATATGAAACAGAAGGAACATGTTCTATAGGAATGCATTTATTTTCAACGTAATTCTGAATATTTGTACACGTATAATTAGAAACCGAAATAAATCCCTACAGTCCTTTTAAAATTTCTTTAAATTGAAGCAATTACAAAACAAATTTTTAGACGCGCGAATTTTCATTGCTAACAATAAGAATAAACATACATGTTTTGCCGCAAAAGCATTTTGCATTTCTTTAATTGACTGTTTGGATAAGCGGCGTGAGTGACTAACACCTGTGTTCGTACAGTAGGCCGGGGCTGTGGCATTAACGTTAAAACGAATACATGTAAATAGGAACATCTCAAGCGTAAGTAAACGTTTTCACAATTACTTCCGATCATTGGCGAATAGCAGGTTGCAAACTTCCGTTTCCTGATGGTACTTAAGCCCTTAGCATCCCCCAGCGAGAACCAGCTAACTGCCTACCTTACCTTACTAACTACCTTCCCTTACTTTTCACGATTCAAACTGCATGATAATTGGGGAACATCAAGAATTTCCGCCGCGAAGATTTTGAGTAAAATTACAATAATTCCCCAATATTTCATTTTAGGCTGCATCACAAACACTTGAAATAGCGTTTAGGATACCCATTTGGAGAACCCTACATCCCAGACGAAGCGGAATATCTTTCGGTGAACACAGAGCAAAGAATCCGTGACACAGTCACTATGTCGTGTCGGGCTTTGCGATTTCCATCCCTTACGAGAGCTCTGTGGCAGGGCAAATGCTCTACGAGCAGCCACACTACTCGAACGCCATTAAAGGTTCACGAAACGCAATCCCAAGATCCGAGGTGTTGTGCAAGGTTCAATTCAGCACAAAATAATTCGCGGAATTCATAACTCGGCTCTGGATCTGATTAAGCCACGCATCCACGCAGCCACGCCATTAATCGCAACTTAAACTTCTTAAAGTACAGAAAGAAAAAAGTCGCAGGCGAGAAATAATGTTACACAAGATCCAATCTACAACCAAACTACAATCAACGATACAGAATTGAGTCAGTCCCCGATACTGAACGATGTCGGCAACGAAGATGGAAATAATTCTCTTAACGTTTTCCGATTGTTCTTCAAGTTCAGTGAATTGGACTTTCTTCTGAACGAGTAGTTCAAATTGAGGTTTTCCGCCATGAATATGTAACCACACAAATTTAATACACCAAGAAAAACAGAACTCTACAACAGAACAAACAAACTCTACAAAGAGAGAAAGAAGAAGCTAAATTTGATAAAAACTAGGAAATGGAAAGACACAAGAACTGAGAAAGAGGTGGAAAGGTTAGCAGAAAAACGAGTGTCTACAGACGAGAGGGTAGAAAACGAGAGAGAAAGAAAATTATAAAAGGAAATGAACAGGAAGGATTAAAAAGTGAGCACAGAGGAAACCAGAGATCTAACACGAAGAAAAAACGCGCAGACAGAGACGAAAGCAGATGAACGGAAGGAACCAGAAAGTGCACAAAAAAGCAGGGGAAGAGGAGGAGAATAAGAGGCAAAACAAGGGACAGATCGGAAGAAATGACTAAGCGAAGTAAGAAAAGGGCAGCAGTGTGAAGAGAAAAGAAAATAGAACAGATCAGAACAATGCAACATTGCGAGAAAGACAGAGGCAGAAAGCGAGAGAGCCAGAATCTAAAAGCGAGTTCCAGAGCGAAATATTTTAAAAGCAAATGTAAAAAATATATTTTAAATTAAAAATTAACTTCTCCCATTACATTTCGTCCCTGCTTTTTTATTCCAGGTTTAGAGTGATAATACAAGATGTGATGTAAAAAATAAATTACAAATAAATTACGGAGGAGGCGGGGGGTCGTCAGCAATAATACATACACCGCCTCTTATCGCATTAATTTCCCCCGAGTCCCTTGGTCGATCTGTAATCGCTGAAGTTGATACAGTGTTCGAGGAGAAAGTATTCCCAATGATCCGTACGACCCGTATTGATCCTTATTCCCAATGATCCGTTGCAATGGAGTATTTATGGTGTGCGAGCTTGCAGGCTGCTTGAACGGAGAGGCTCGAGCAGACTCCTCTTATTTTGAACACATGGGCTTCTTTGAGCTATTAGCTATTTTTTTTAAAAAAAACGGCCTTGAGAAAAAAAGGTCATGATTTTTCAGTTTTCGGATTTTTATTTTATAGATCCCCAGTTAACCGGGTCGTTTGGTCACCAATCGCTGCTCTCGAAGATATTGTATGCCACAGCCGCACTCTTACTTTCGAAACGTGGAACGAAGCTGTGAAGGCCCAACGTCACAAACATGGAAAGGCCAATGCAGGGCGCGCTTCCGGATTTGGTGACGTCACTATCTCCCAAACGCGACGCTTTACAAATGCCATCGTTCTAGTTCCTGCGCCGGCGGCACTAACAACATTTTTGGCCCTCATATATTGCAGTGACAGGTATTATATGGAAAGTGAACATATTTTATCGTTCCCCTAGTCACCTTATATAATGTAAAATTGCACGGTATTAACAACAAACTGATAAATGTGTGGAATCATGCAGGACAGAGAACATGCTTTCCCACGAGTGAAGTTCATTTTAATGGGTGCGAAAGTTTGATACAAGCCACCCAATTGATCAAAATGAAATTGATACGGGCAAAACAAATCCGCTATACAAATCTAAACGGTTCGTTGTCGAGTAAAAAATACGCGTATATATTTATAGAATAATGACATTAAATTTATTATTGAGAGTAAAAAAAGCTTTTTTATGCTCAAATAAGTAACACATGACTTGTTTGTAGTTAGTTTCAGCCCCTTAAATAAATTTGGTACTGTTTCCTCCTCGCCAAACATTCTTTGAATGAAAATTAAATGAAACATTTTCGTACGGGGATGTTGATGCGGTCAGTTGTTCTATAGAGTTTACGTTTTAATTGGAAGCTTTAAGTTGTTCCGTAAATTATGTTTCCTGTGTTAATAATGACTTTGGTAAAAAGTAAAAATACGAAAGTTAACTCTAGACCGTGGTGATCTACCAAGTTACAACACACATTTTTTAATGTTAATACACGTATAATTCAAACGAAAACTTAACCAAAATAGCATTAAATTGGACATTTTTTAAATATTTGTTTTCGCTGAGAGACACTGAGGGGGCTGGTGTGTCTTTCGAATTTGATAATGTGTATGTCACCAAAACCCTTCCCAGCAAACGAACGGAGCGAATCGTAGGGTCTTTGAGATAGCTTGATAACGCGAATCTTGAAAGGGATGACGACCCATCTTTACACAAGCTTTACAAACACATTTCCCGCATGTGGGAGTTGCCTGCCACACTCTCCGTTATTCGAATTTAAAACCCCGCGTCGTCCAACTAAAAGAGTTCAGAGGGGGGCGGTCTCGTCCCGGCAAGTGATTTCGTATTCGTAAGAGCGACGGGAAGCGAACTTACTGGAAGGAACCAGGAACGGCACATCAACGGGTGTGAAGAAGTGCCCCCGCCCTCACCCCGCGCCACCCGCCGTGTACTCGTACGACAGCCGACAAAAACCGCTTTCGCCCTGAGCGCATTAACGCGCGGTTGTCGTGTCTCGCGCGATCCTCCAACGTGAGATCCAAAATCCCCCGCGCCGCCGGAAAAACGCCCGCCGGGCGACGGAGGGGTGGAGTGGGGTGGGGTTGGGTGGGAAGGGGTCGCAAGAACTCGCTGCGCGCAACCCCGGCTCAGCAATCCCTTCAAACTAAAGCTCCCAACCGCTCGCGAAGCAGGCTCTCTCAGAGGAAGACTGAAAACCAACGATTTATTAGTGTGTTCTAACACAGAAACGCACTAACATAATCAAAGAGGAAGTGGTTCTGGGTCTCGTAACTTCACTTCTTTCTTCCTAAATATGGGGGAATGGATAAGTCAATGATTTAAGAATTCTGTGAACACTTCGTTATCAGTAAATGGTTCTGCTGCCCTTAGGAATACAAAACGCTTTTAGGGAAGAACACATCTACACATCAAAACATCACACAAATACGTCACGTCACAGGTGTACTGGGGTGACAGGGAAACTGGAAATTCCTAACAGATAAAAAAGGAAGAGCATCAATATCGAATGAAATCCAACACACTACAATATGCACATGACAATCATTGCCTATGAAATATGCAAAAAATACTACAAAACACAGACGTCATACGGGTACAAAAATTGCACTAACACACGCAAAACAGCACAAAGCAAGCCCATAACTACTCGCAAACGCCGCATCGTAATCTACCTCTTTCAAACTGCTACAACACTACAAAATGAAAACTACGGCTAACGCAGCATGGGCAAAGCTCCGCTAGAGGTCGCTACGCGCCGCCGCACTTACTTCCAAAATTCGATTTGCGCGCGCGCAAGACGACACGAGGCGCTACGCAGTTTAGCTCCTGAAATGAATTACACAAGACGTCAATGGAAGCGCATGCGCGGAGGGCGCGCCCAAGCAGCTGCGGAGCGCATGCGGCGGCCGCCGCGATCGCCGCGTCCTTGCGCCCGGAATACGGCGCACCGCGGGGCAGGGAGACTCGAACTCCGACCCTGGGCAACGCGCTTTCTTTGGTAGGCGACCTACGCCGCAAATCTATCTCTCACCAATTCCATTTGCCTACACGCTACAAATACATTTCAGTGTGTTCATTTCCCGGGTATTTTTCTGGGGGTGAATATGAATTACAAATCATTGTACAGAAGCTTTGCTAATAACGGCAACTAAATAATAAATAATATTTTGTCATTTTACGTTGAAAAAAATATTTCGTGGATTATTAAAATATCGGTTACTATTGACATCTAAACACTCTTCTGGATTTTGCTGGAAGACCAAAACCTGGCCATACATTTTGTTTATACACAACAATATCGTAAGACGAAAAGGATTAATGAAAACGCTTAACTCGTCCAATGATCTGGGCAAGAAAGAGCCAGACATGAGCGTCTTATAAAAGCTGAGCGCAAGATGAAAACGGTTTTGTTGATCCCTTGGCTGAGCCCAGGGGCGAACATCTATTTGTGGACATGCAGAAGGATGTAGTTCAGAGACCGCGGAAATGTGTGGAACGGGTTTTTATTTTTATCTTTTCAGTCAGCGCAATGTTAAACGTAAAATCACGGAACAATTGGACACTGAAAGGAGATTTGGAGGAAATGGTTGAAATACGTGTGGTACGACTTCCAGCTTAATACAGATTTGAATCACCATTAATGAAAGTTTGTGCTCTGCTGTAGACTATATTTAATTCAAACGCGTGTTTACCTGCTTTATGCAAAGCGTTGTTTGGTAAATTATAATGTATTTATGACTCCTGAAAAAAGTAAGTAATGTAAGGGTTTAGGAACTGGCATGTTTTCACGCTTTGAAAACCTCTTAACTGCTGTTGTCGTGGTAATAAATGTGTATAATAAGTGTAGATGGTTATACATATAACGACCTTTGCATCATTAAATTTGTTTTTAACGCATTGTGAATGAATGATTTTTCCGATCGTTAAGGAAGGAAGGTCCAATGATTGAGAGCGATTTGGAAGAGAGGAAGTAAATTCTTTTACAGTACGCAAGTTTAACACACTAATAATAGCATAAATAATAAAGACAAGAACAAAATATCCATTGAAGCTTTATCACAAAAACCACTTATTATGGTACAAGACCTCCTCCGCCCACCCCTTCGACTGTTCCTAAAACTGCCATTCCTCCAATCGATTCCAAATGTCGCCATGCGAGGTGTGGGATTGGTTTCTGCATTCCCATAGAAATAAATGCCTCCAACTCATGCTGTAGAAACGAAAGGACTTGGGCTCCGGTGAAGCCAAAGGCCGAGATGCGTACAATTCTACATTTCTTCGACGAGAGGGATTCGAATGGAAATTAACGATGTGACGTAAGTACACTCACTTACCTGTAATCGAAGTCCTTCACCTATTACACTATGTGAAACGTAGTTAACTAAAGCACTGAACAATAAGTAACAAAATGTTCATTTGTTTTTGATAGAGGCGTTTCAATGTGAAAAAGCGTCTGAGAGTGTATCAAACGTTCTCAAGCTAATTTCTCTGCGATACTCTCGGATGCGTTTACATTAATGTGCGAGTCGCATCATAAATTACTCCTAAGTCGTGTGCATTAAAGATTAGGTACAAAAAATCAAGGACACAGACACTTGACAAGGTCTGGCATTCTTGCGAAATCAAGAAGCGTTTCTGAATCATACCACTTTTGCTAAATTCTTACCTTTTAGAGAAACTTTTCATATAAAACTTAATAGAGAAAAAAAAGTATTTAAAAAATAGGAGTAGTTTAAGACAGCGTGTAAGATTTCCAACACTGCTCACTCTATAGAGCGAATTTTTCAAATCTGCAAATATATCCACATGGCTTTCTGTTGTACACAGCACGTTCTAGTATACAGGAAGACATTACCTCAAACCTATAAACACACTGCGGAAACGCACCCGATGATATGGTATTTGCGATTTGAAACAAACAATGTATACAAAATGAGTATTAATTACACCAAAAACATGACAGCAAATTTCCAAGAACTGCTGGACAGAATGTTCATTCTCATTTGGAAGTAGCAAGAATTAAAACTGGAACCAGAATACAAATCAGAAATAATTCCTGACAAGTGTCCATTAAATATAATTATCATTGAAACAGTTTAAGATCATATCGAACGATTCACCAATTTCAACAAGACATTTACACGATTGAAAGATTTCTTGTAACAATTACATTACAGCCACCAAGAAGTCAGCTCGCTTATTCCAAGTCGCTCGAAGTGCAGTGGCGAAACAAGGGAGGGGCTCGTTGATCTCCAACAATCCCCTCCCAGTCTCGATGACGTATAGTCACAAATACAGCTTTACTAATTTTCTATAGTAACTAAAGTCATTCACAAGGCCGGATTTACCTACGAGCTAAACAAGCAGCAGCTTTGAGGGGTGGGCAATCATGAGGGACTAGGGAGAAATATGCATAACATATTTTTGTCTGTAAAATTATTGTTACTCAAATATTGTATTGTACTAAAAAATGTGTATTTAAAATTTGAAAGTTATTTTTTTAAATATTTGATACATGTGAAAACAGTAATTTAGTTATTGAAAAATGCACTTGTGTGAAATGTTATTATGAAATGTATTTAATGTAATGAATACAAAAATATAAGTTTTCATTTGTATTTATACATAAAGTACTAGTATTAAGATAAGATTTTTATTTAACAAAAATGAAGCTTATTTTTCGGGGGAGGGGGGACAACACAATTTTGTGCTTGGGGGCTCCGCAATATTTAAATCCAATCCTAGTCATTCAAAACTTCAACTGAATGCATTATAAATAACTATAAATCAACAAAAAGAAATAAAACAAACAAATGCAACAAAATTACATTTCCTTTATATGAAAACCCCTAGTGAGCTACACAATACACCTACAGCCATTCCTTACAAAAATACTAGTTGCGCCTCTGACGAGGTGCGATATCAGTTCACACAATTCACATTATTATGCAGATTTTACCAATTAGCACAGTGAAAACGAGGGGTGAATCTCAAAGAAAAGAAGGATATAAATACCAAACTTCAGTTATACGTCCCCTTAAACGACTCGGGCAAAGTGAGGACAATATACAATAAATCACCAAGCTTCCGTTGCCAGTATAATTGAAGACGATACTCTTGCGTAACAATCTTCAGAAAAAAGCTGTTAACGAATATTTCGAAAAAGAAAATTAATAATAAAAAATAATCAGAATACGGAATGAAGTATGTAAAATGAAAAATGAAACCATGTAAAATGAAACCATATACAAAACTTAAATACAGGAAAGGGTTGGGAAAACGGAACTTCCAAAGACAGAAATGCATTCAAGAAAAGCTGGGGACATTTTATAAATCGCGAATGGAACTTTTTACTGAAAACGAGAGGTTCCTTACAAACATCTACGGGATTTAAACATGCAAACAAGCGGCAGACCGCGTTTTACTCAAATTGATGTGTGAGTAGAAAATTATTTGGAATGATGGAGCAGTAATTGGAAGTAGGGAAAATTAGGAAGCGAAGACATAATGGATGGATAACACTCGATGGAACCAGGATTGACGTATTTGAAGCGAAAGAGAACAGCAAAACATTTGGTTTACTATTAGCTATTTTTGTGTAGCACATTCTCCTTCGATTTTAAACTTAAGTGTATACGTACGTTGAAAATAAGTATACCACGACATCGGTTAAAAGCGGAAATTGTTTGCACCTTAATGGTCTTTCAATGCTTGTATCTACCAAACCATGAACACGGAGTTCATTGACACGTGTCTGGGTAGAATCAACTTAGCGACATAGTATAATATTTTAATGAAATTTTATGTATTAGGATATTCAGTTATTCACAGACGATACGATTTTAACAGTCTCAGATACAAATTAGTTACAATAAAATTAAACTATTGAATTTATTACACAGAAACCAACAAGAAAATAGAAAAATCAAAGCGATCGCTTTCATCAGTCCGATGAACAAATTGATTTAATTCTACGAGGGAAAAATTAATAATAATTGCAATTATTGTAAACTTAAATATTTTAATTTTTTCGCAAGGAGTAAACTTCACTGATAACATACACATCACTGATTAATCATACTATACACTCTACGGACTCTATATAATCTTTTCTGATCATTTGATTATATTGATCTGAACACTTCATTTGATTAGATTGGTCACACACATCACATCGTAATACATAAAAAGCGTTCCCGTGCGAGAACTCTCGCATGTCAATCCCCACCCTTTCCCTGTTTCTTCCATTAAGAATGAAAGTTGAAGTCGTAGGCTTCCGCGACCAGAGTCATGTGGGTGATCTGGGCTGTCCGGGTGACGCCGCGTCGAAGGCTGAGTTGCCGACGTTTCGACCATCCTGTCGTGGTCTTCCAACAAAGTTAATCGGTTATAAACATTTATAACCACGAGGTTATAAACACGAGCGCTGACCATCACGGCGCATACCAGCCCTGAGGAAGACCACGACAGGATGGTCGAAACGTCGGCAACTCAGCCTTCGACGCGGCGTCACCCGGACAGCCCAGATCACCCACAAGAAGGAAAGTTGTTAATGAAACGGGTTCATTTGTTAAAAAAATCTATAAATGTAACATCGTACTTACAGAATATCAAACCAAAATAAAAACAATTCAATTGATGTTGGAAACAAATGTTCGATAAAGGTTTATTCAGATTATGTTCTTCGAACAATTCACACTTCCTTAAAACATTTGAAGTCATTATTAAATCTTCCTTGAGAGTCAGCTTTTTATAATAGTCACAAAAATATTAAAAAAGCTGTTTACTCTTGAGAAAGCTACGTGACAGATCGCGCTGACTTGAATGTTTTAACGAATCACTGCTGATAACGAAAATGCCGACAAAGGTAAAACACAGAACAAACCTAACAAGACAGTCTTCACACTTTACTGCACACCCGCATCCCTCCACAATTAGGTACACAGGACTTATAGACCTCGGCAAAAAGTTAAATGAATGTTTTTACTACAAGCATAAGAAACAATCTTCATCGGTCTCATGCAACTATTAATAGTACATCTAGTTGTTGTTGCGAGAGCGAATCTTGAATTAATAATTATGCAAATAATCCTGGTCAATCTACGCAACACCGCACCAACAGAAAGCATAAATAGTTTAAGATAGAGGAATATAAGTCTTCTAAGCGTGACTTCACAAAGATGGCCACCATCACCATGAGTTGAAATATAGGTGATATTGGTAGTATCGATAAGTACCGAACCAGCAAAAATTTAATAATGTCCAAAATATCTCATCCTGTAGATTTCGGTATTAGAAACGTTTTATTGAGGCCTTTGACCTCAAATTCTAGATTTTAAGACCCTAGAACGCATTCTTTATGAGTTATTTAACGATACAGCTTATTGAGTGCTACGGGTTGCATTTGACATGAATATTTAGATGCGTTTTTTAAATAAATCTGTCATATGTTTACAGTCAATGTGCAATTAGTCACGTCTCCATGAAATTCTCTTTCTTTAGAGATCTCATTTATAAAGATCGGTTGCATGTCACACCCGCAAAAGGTATGTATACTACTGAAATAATATAGGAGGTGATTAATCGAATTTTCAATTCTGGCCGAAGTTAAGAAGTCCTTCAGCGCCTTACAGCACCTTCTAAACATTGTTTGTCCACTTTAGCAACAGTATCTCGTTTTCCCTTTTTTAGGACTTTTTAACAGAGTTCGAAAATAAAACTCTCTCTCCATATATATAGATATATATATATATATATATATATATATATATAATATATATATTATATAGTATTGATGAATGGACAATGAAAACACGCTGCTTCTCTGGAAGACGCTCTGAGCAAAAGGAACATTTACACGTCAACATGAAACGTTTATAATCAGCTAATATTATATATTTCGGGGTAATTTCTGGTAGATAGGTTCTGATTGGATTCATATGACGTGAGATTACGGCTGGAGTGCGATGCAGAACAACTACAGCTTCAATTACATCAGTGCATAGGAACTTCCACAACCTTTTTCCCTTCAGAAACTAGTGACCTCTCGCAGTGAGTAATCGAAGTTTCTGCAGCATACAAACTTTCGAACTGGACAGAGAACGATATGTACTCAACAATTTGCAAGGAATCACTAGAGCAGAACATTCTACGAGTATTACGATTACACGTGTCTAGTCACGTGGGATGTGTTCGCAGGTTTTTCACACTATTGTGTTCATATGCTCTTTTATTGAATTAGGTAATATGTTACTTTTAAATACTCAACTTCATCAACGTCTCTATATCATCTTTATCTCAAATGTTTGATCATTAAACCAAATTAAACACGATAGGACGTGAATCCCGCATTGTAGCGGAAATTGGGTCAGTTAGCAGTGTCAGGGGAGACCAATAAACTCGTTTCGCTGGGCGTACGGCCGGCAATCCCCGCTCCCTCCAGGAACTCATTACGGAAAGGGGGTGGGGAGGGAGCGGG